CTGAATCCTGAAGTGGATTAGAAGAATAGAAATAAAAGATCAATGAAAATCCCAATGTTTTCTAATTGCTCAGATTCAAACAATAACTTTAACATCACTAACAATGGAAATTGATGTTATTAATTTGACAGTCATAATTATAGATATGACTACATAATCTGGTCATAACAACAAGATAAAAAGTGAACACTGAAACCAACTAATAATGGCATGTGAGATTAACCTATTATGCAAGCTCTGGACATGCAATCTATTCTACAATGTCTTTCAACACTTTGTGTGCATGGCTTAAATTCAAAAACCATAATATTTAATTAAACTTTTAAAACTATCTCTATTCTGATTCAGTATGTTACAAGGAAGGTTTTTGTAAAAAATGTATTTCTGTACTCTTTACATATGTAAATTAAAATATATTTAATAGTTTGCATTAGAAAATGTACAAAAAAATATAGCAAAATTTCAGAGGTTTCCAATTTAAACTCAATGGAATTCTTTAAATTTATCATTAATACGTTATTATTAATAATATTGTTTATCCTGAATTATACATTGTTGGTATTACTTTGATATCATATACAACTAATATCAGGTAGCCTTGCTAGTTATAGATAAAAAAGATTTATATCTTTATTCTATTTTTTCTGGCATGCCAGTAACAAGATTAAATTATATCCAGCTGATTATTAATATGAAATATAAAAAGAATTAATTATATATTTTTCCATTAAAATGCATTAAAAATGTAATGATCAGAATTTTAAACTAAAACTCTCTAATCTTATTTCCAAAGTCACAATTCAACCAATTTCTACTTCTGGTTGATTGATTCTTTGGTTTTCTTAACAGCACATCAACTCTGACACTTATTTAATGCCAAAAAGATTTTTCTTTTAATCAAATATATATGGCCTGTAAACAATATTTTACGTCATTGGTTCCATCACTCTCCAGTTATGCCTTTAGAACAGAGTTGTTTACTGCTATAATTTGTATAATTTGTGGTACAGACCAACCTCCTTCAAATAGGCTTGGATAGTATCTACTTTTATCTTCTTGAAAAGATCCTCTAGACTAGTTATGTCATAAAATCATTGATGTATAGGAGCATGGTCACTACAATCGGTTAGAATATGTTTTACGGTATATGCCTCCTGGCATCCTGTGCATTCAGGAGAATACTCTTTTTATTTTATTTTTTAGGAGAAATGAGTGACTGATATAAGTGTGTCTCAATTCTTGGTAGTACGACTGCTTCCTTCCAAGAAAATGTGAGAACATGATGCCATTATCATAGAATAGGTTTAATTTAATAAAGTTTGTTTTTGGGTGGTAACTCTTGCCACTTGTTTAGAATGTATGAATTTATAATTCTACTTCTGATGTGTATATGCAAGTAGATTAAATAAGTTAGCAACATAAACAAATTAGGTATTTCACAGACTAGATTTAATGTCTATTTTATATACTACAGAATTACATTAGATATACTTTGAAAGCTTTACATACTTGGAAATTCTTAAGTAACTGAAAAACATTGAATATTAAAAAGTCAGTTTTCTGCAAATGACTGAATTATTTGAGAATAAAGCAAGCAATCAAATATTCATACAAGGAATTATAATATAACTATCTAATATCCTAATATATATGTGTGTGTGTGTGGATTTATTAAAATATTTGTGAAAAAATACAGTAAAAATGGAAACTAGTTTTATTCAATTCAAATGAACATAATGAAATGTCCAGCTTAGGCAAAACGGGCATGACTTTTCTAATATTTACGAGGAGAGGTAACTGGTATCAAAAGATAATTGCTTTTATATCAGAAATCTACTACACCAACATTACCAAATAAGTATATATATATATATATATATATATATATATATATATATATATATATATATATATATGCTGAAAAGTTCTTGGCCTAATTAAGAAATGAGTAAAAAGAAATTCTGATGTTTTTTCATTTAGATTGTAAGTCAGATTGTGAAATTTTCACTACCCCTTTGTAAAGGTTCCATTTCAATAAGGAAAAGGAAAATGTGAAAGCTTTTCATTTTCATTTTCAATTTAAAATTAATTTATGCAATCAGATGAGTACTGCTATCCATCAACAATATCAACAAGTAGAGAATGACATTACTCTTGTCATGATTTTTAATTGAGCAGTTAGAAATGGATTTTCATGTACATCATAATAAATGATATTAACAGAAGCAAACAATGATTCATGAACAGGAATACATTTTGAATAACATTCTAACAATATTTAGGTTGTTGCACAAAAAATGCTCTTCTGCTGCATATTTTAAAAGCAACCTGTTTGCATAAAATCTTCTTCAAAGTATATTTTAATTTGAATGGAAGTAACAGTGACTGTATGTGTATGTCATCAATGAGCAGCAGGAAAAACTATCAATTTGCTAATGCAAAAATATTAAAATATTCAAGTCATAAATGTAGAATTGATTAATTTTAATGTAAAAGTTTTTACTTTAATAGTCCAGATTTATACAAATTGTTTAGAAAGTGTTTTCTCTATGGATAAATTTCACTCATAATTTGATTGTTTTTATTACAATTTTGATGTTCAAATACCCTCCAACCAAGTAGCATCAACAAGCTTCCATCAAGTCAGTTTGTTTATTTATTTATTTGGATGAATTTAGGTCAATTTACTTGTTATTATTTATTTGTTATACTGTATATTTTCTCTTTTCGGTTTTTGATTTTTAAGTAGCATAGTATTTTTTTTTCTTCTATCATTATATAACAGTTATAGCTATTTTTTCTCCAATTTTTGGTTTGATTTTTATAGTCTAACTAATATTTTGGTCATAATGGTTTGCTAATTTGTTTATTATTTAATTTATTTATTTGGGTTCATTGATTTTGTTTCTTATTTTTTATTCTATTTCATCTATTCTAACAGATGTGATTTGGTAATTTGTTTGGGTTAATTTATTTTGCTTATTTTATTGTTATTTTGTTTATTTATTTTTTATTTTTATTTTATTTTATTTTTCCGTTTTCGATTTTTAAGTAACGTAGTAAAAATTTGTTTTCATGTCTGCATTTTGAGATGAGCTCAGATCTTTTATTTAATAATTTATTTTGGTATGGGAAGGTAATGATAGCTATTTTTTCCTCCAAGCAAAATTTGAAAGTTTTTGATTGGTTGTTGTAGGCTGATGATCTTTTCCTTATTTTCCAAGATATTTTTGGTGTGATGTATGTTTTGTTTTTAATTTCCCAGATATACTTAGAAAGCATTGTGCTGTTCACATATTTACTATTTGCAAATATTTGTGAGAACATTTCTTCCACACCCTCTTTATGATGCCTTTAACAAATAATATAAATCAGTAGATTGTAGAAATATAAATTTAAAGTATTAAGAAAAAATGTAGAATATTTTCATAAGCAACTTTGAAATATAAAAACACTATTCATTAGCAGAAACTCAAAGACTTCTTTACCTTGATAGGTTGTCCATATCTTCATCAGGCGAGTCATCAGTGAACACCAAGGAGTCATTCCATTTGGCTTTCTTTCCACCAACAGTGTTTGGGGTATCAGATCCCTTGTAATTAAAACAAAAAAAATACATAGGTTTCATAAGAAAAACTTAATGGTATTAATGGCATCATTATTACTATTGTTATTATCATTGCTATTATTTTTGAGTAATCTGTACCTTGTTTGGGAACAATCAGCCTGCATGCAAATAAAGAACAAGTTTAGTAAATACACAAAACCAGAAAGAGGTGTAAAACATCAAATTCAATGTGTACAACATGGTGATTCTAAGAGAAGAAGAACTACTAAGATTTATTATCGGTGGATATAAGTTTAACAACATAAAATATATAGATGACACTGTGTTGATGGTAGACTCAGAAACATAATTGAAATCTTAGACAAGATAGTAAAGGGAAAGCAAGAAGAAAGAACTAATCATTAACTGTAAGAAGACAGAAAACATGGCCCTCAGTAAAAAAAAAAAAACAAAAAAAAAAAAACAGTGTGAGCAGAAATATGGTTCTATCAATGAATGCCAAGAATACCATGGAGAAAACATGTGAGCAACAAGGAAATTTTAAGGAAAATAGGCACTAAAAAGAATCATGAAATTTCTCAGTCACATTATAAGGAAAGAGGGCCTAGAGAATTTAAAACCCACATCACATACTGAAAGCAGTGAAAAGCAATGTTTGTGTAAATGGATAGCAGAACAGAATGGTAAAAGGTCAACAATTACTCAGAGCAACAAAAGACAGTAACTTGTGGAAAGCTATGATCATCTACCTCCTGATGGGTATGGTACATAAAAGAAGAAGAATGAAAAATAAAACTATTAAAGACTAAAATCTGAATTTTGACTAAATACTGGAACATAATGGACTTTCAAATCTCTGCTCAGTGAACTGGAAACTATGCAAAAGTATACCATGTCTACAGGACATTTTTTTAAAATATGACCTACTTCACCTATCTTTAAGAATAAAGCAAGCAATCAAATGTTCCTTCAAGCAATGATTACAATATAACTATCTAATATTCTAATTACATATATATTGGTGTGTTTATTCAGAGTAAGTACTAAAAATTCGCCTTTCTTTCAACCATGCACCGATGACTTGGGAGGAAAATCTCCAACTGATGCCAAATCAGTCGGGTTTTGATCCTGGCTTGAAACAATCAGATGTCTAGCCACACTGATAAGCTGTGAAACAGCGAAACAGTCTGTGGATGACAATATATATATATATATATATATATATATATAGAGAGAGAGAGAGAGATGGATGGATGGATGGATTTATTAAAATATTTGTGAAAAAATTCAGTAAAAATAGAAACTAGTTTTATTCAATTCAATGGAATTCATAATGGAATGTCCAGCTTAGGCAAAGCGGACATGACTTTTCTAATATGTACGAGGGGAGGTAACTGGTATCAAAAAGTCAATTCTCAACAGAATCGTTTCTGATAATTGCTTTTATATCAAGATGGAAATGCATTAATAAAAGACAATATGATAAGCAAACAAACGAAGTGAATTTAAATGTAACCATTGTGTAAACATGTAATTAATAATTAATACATTTGAGAGAGGAATTTAACTTAAAAATAATTTCCATACAAACTGTGAATCAGTCATTGCTAATCTATTCCTCTTACTATTTACTAGATTACTAGAAGGATATAATGAACATTGACACATGTGACTTCATTGCCAAAGAGACATTGTGTTATGTATTTTTCTTTCATCTTCAAAATATCATGTCCATTTCAGATACATGTGAATCAAATGTTCAATCAGCAGATATCTAAAACAATTCCCACACTGATGAAAAACCAGGATTGGTGGGACTGTTGGGCTGCCCTACATTAATGTTAATGATGCTTCAACTCTACAAATACCTCAGAGTCATCATCTTATGAAAGACTTGTTAGAAACACAGCTGCTGTTTTTGCAGCAGTTGTATAAATTTATTTTTTATACTATGACAGCATATTTTACTATTATAAAATGTTTTTAAATATATAAATATAGATAGTACATATCATGGCAGGATAATTTATATATGAAACAAGACATGCCTAAGTTATAATATAGTATCTGTGCACTGTGTCAAAGATCAAAATGATACTCATCCACACTCTACAGGTTAATTTTACCAGGTTTCTCAATTGACCTATTCATTGTGGATAGGTCAGTTGCCTGGTTATCTCAAAGGCAGGATGTATTTGGTTATATATATATATATATATATATATATATATATATATGCCTTATCTTAATAAAAAGTTACAAACAAGAAATACACACTTACATGTAGCATATTATATTGTAACAATCCTCTCAAAGTAGAACTGAGAAAAACCACTTGTCTTCACACTATATTCTATTTCTAATCAAGCAGAGTATGGAGAATGAGTGAGCTAATCACTTTGCAATTATGACCCAGAGAATAGGGACCAAAGGACTGTCATTCATAATTGCTCACTGATAGAATTCAGATAGCCATAAATCACAATCATAATACTGGAAATATCTACAAGCACAGAATCATCCAATGTGATATGCAAAGGGGATCAAACTCACCACACTAGTTAACTAAACATCACTGTCAGATAACTAAGGTACATATTTACTAAGCTTATCTGTCTTCCACAGAAACACAAAATTAGGACATTCAGTGAGGAACATCTAGAAATTAGAACACAACAGTAATTAATCTATTATGAATTGGTAGTTCAGTAAGTAGCCAAGTTAAAAATAGAAATTACATACATTTCAGTGACAGTTATTCTAAATTCTACAAGCATTATTCACCTATAGTAAGAAGAAAAAATGAAATATTTCTCAGCTTTAAACCAAAATTATGAATACTTACATCTTTTTCAGTTTCAGCACTGTAAGAACTGGAAAAATAAACATTGTAATGTGTTATTATATTAATTAATATCATCATTAAATTAGGGTGTATCAAAATTATCATCAGTTTTTACAGACCTTTACTCCAAAGCTTAATTCATGCATATATCTATAGATAATTTATGAATGGCAGATACAAGTATAAAGCAGCAGCCAATTTTGTGGTATTATTTTAAAGTGAGTCTCAAAGCCACTGAATTCTATTTGTAAAATTCACAAAGTTGAAGGAAATTAACTATCTGACTATACTATCAAAAATGGTTTAATCATTTTAAAGGTAGTTAGTCCTCTTTGAAATAAAATTCAGAAGTAGGAATCTATAAGTTACTGATTGTGATGTTTTAAAACACAAGGAGTGGTACCTGAAAACTTTCAGAACAGTTACAATCATTTAAAGATACAATAAGTAAAGCATTACATAAGTTTCAAACATTCAAGCATATTTTACATGAACATGCTTTTATACATTCTGAAAAGTATCAGATATGAGCCAGAAACAGCAAAACATGTTAGAAAATAAAGAAAAGGAAAACAGTTTGTGGAGGAACTCGTTGCATTTCAAGGCCAGACCTTGCTAATCCTCTTCCTGGACAAAACAAACTTCAATATCCATATTTCAAGGATAAAAGGTACAAGGTTCAGCATAATTGCAGCAGCATCAAAAGGTGCCAACATACATGTAATAAGCTGTATCAGCAACTTTGGCCTAATTTACAGTGAAGTTAGGCGCAGATTGTACACAAGTAACATGGAGTGTGATTTTGTGAAAAAGGCCCCTGCATGTAGCCAAGGAAAAGGTTGGTCAATCTGTCATCCTTGTTATTGACAATGCACGTTGCCACTCAAAAATCAAATCAGTCTTGGATAAAGAGGAATTTTCTGATGATCAAATTTTGAAAACTAAGACCTTACAGCACTATGCTCAATCCAATTAAGAATGTGTGGTCAATTTTCAAAGCTGAAGGAAATTGGCTGAAAATACCCAAAAAATTCTAATGAAAGAAAGGTTAACTTTGAGCATAGGCTCCAGACCCTAGAAAATTATATAAATGCTGCCCTTGCAACAGAGACACCAGCAATGTGCTCAAATTTCATTACAGGCATCCAAGGCAAAAATCACAAAAGCCATTAATTCTGGAAGACATAACATTTTAATTATCATGCTTTATTTATAATGAAGATTCAATCATTTTCTTCTATAGAATTATTTTTTATATTTTCTATTCATTTAGTTCAAATGTTACTATTTTCAAATTTAAAATTAGTGTTCCATTTTGAAAGTTACTATTCTCAAATTGAATGTGACTTCCATTTTTAAAGTTACTTTTCTCAAATTGAAAGTGAAAGGTATAGAAAAATTTGGTATGACAGACCATTATCTCAAGGAAGAAATATTAAAATTACTTTCCCTGGTCCAACTGATGAGGAACATTGCTGGAGGGTAAGAAAATTAAAGCATTGTTTGACAATATCTTTTTGTCTCTTGTCTCTTTACTTGTGGATCCTACACCTGAAGAAATATTGTAGGCAATAACAAAAACAACAAAAAAGAATAAATAGCTTGAGCAACTGTTGGAGTGATAATGACTTTTCTCAAAATATGATCTTTGTCAATACCTATATTTTGGCCAGTGTGCACCCTGACCTTATTAATCTTAAAATTTTTGCTCATTCAATCAACAAGATGAGAGTTTGTAAAAAAAATAAAAATAAAAATTGAATATTAAAATCTAAACTCTATCAAAGATCTGCAAGAATAACTTAGTAATAGTTGCTGCCCTAATCATTTTAATAAAAACAAAATGTAACAATCAAATGATGAATAAAGATTTGCAAATTCACCTTGAATTTTCATCATCTGTTAATTCCTCATTTGAATTGTCAGCTTCCGTATGGTCTTGTTTTTGTTCCTCAACTAAAAGTAACAAAAAGCAAATTCCATTAAATAAAACAGAAAGACAGTAAGAAAAATTTTACAAGAATAATTTTTACCTAATCTGGTTACAAACACTTATTAATTTTTTTTAGACTCTGAGAGTAAAGGTTTTCATAATTCCACAATTTTTTCATTTTTGCTGTTTTTAACATGAAACTGTGTGGGAGTATATTTATGAAACATTTTTACCTTTTTGTCTTAGATTTTCAATTTCTTTCTTTTTGCTATTTAAGACCATCAGAAACTGCAAAGAAAACAAATTCCTCATGATTTTAATTTTCAAAATTCTCCAATTGAAAAGGTTTCTTTCAATAATTCAATTCTCCTAATTAAATGCAAACAAAAATTATAATTGCTCCATGTTTTTTAATGACTGAAAATATTTAGTTACTCTATAAAGTGTATAAGATTTGTAAATGAAAAAAACACAGATGGGAAATAAAGATTTACTGAAAAGAAATTTCAGTAACATTTGCTTTCAGAGAAAAAATATCAAAGCTCATTTGAAACATTTTAGTTTTCTTCTTTTTTCTCACTGATAGCAAGCAATTTGATTCAAACAAAACATTTTAATTGATATCTGTATTCATATCTATTATTTATTAATTGAATCTCTATTATGAAACATTCCATCACAATGTTTCATAATAGAGATTCAATTAATAAATAATGGATATGAATACAGATATCAATTAAAATACATCTCTTAGGAATACATCAATTAGGAATACATCTCTTGTTCGAGAGTTTGCTTACAGGCAGGAATTTTGAAAGTGCATTAATCAAAATTTTTCCCATGTATATAAAAGAATTTAATCATGTTAATGAAAACTTATGTTGAACAAAGAAATTTCACACAAAATTTTTTTTTTACCTTGGAGTACAGATCTTCTTCAAGTTTTTCTTTTGCTGATACACAATTGTTTAATGTCTGCAAAACAAGAATTTGATGATTTACAAGGAATAAAGTATATGTTTTAAATTATATTGTCAGTATTTCAGTTCTATATATGTGTAATGAATAATCAGAGGCAAATAAACTTTGGTAAGCTTTATTCAACTTTAATAAAGAATTACGCTAGTATATTTATAAGCTTATGTGGAGTCGTCCATTACATCAAACAAGGGGGAGCAGGTTGTGGGAATTACTTACAACATTCTCCCCCACCGGCTAGTTATTCGTACAGAATAAAGTCTTTCCAGCGACCTGGCATTTTGCGGGTCCTTTGGGAACATCTTAATTGTTCAGGTGACTGGTGGCCATCTACGTCAGACGATGAGTTGTAGTTATCGTGATTAACACATTTCTGCGTAGAGGGTCTAGCCTTGAAACGGCACCGTTTTTTCTTATGTTTAGGTTGCTGGGTGTCTGAAAAACATGTCTCAGTCTCCGATGTAGGGTGAGTCCGTTTTTGGGGTGTCAGTCTTTCTTCAGAATCAGAAGTAGAAGGTTCATAAGAAAAATCAGATTCATTCAGTAGAGTATCTGAACTAGATGTACGCGGGATTTGGTCGCCTAGCTGCACTGGGCTGGTTCTGAAAACTGGATTTTCGCGATTCTCCATCGCAGTAACCTCTTCAGGTGTATTTCCAGCCGGCGCGAGATCTCTTAAGGAGACTGTTGATTGTCTTCCCTCCGCAGTTTCAATCTGGGCGTATTGGGGGTTCGCCTCAATTAGTTTCACTTTGCTGACTAAGGGGTCATGTTTACTATGACGAACATGGTATTTCAGTAAAACGATTCCAGGTTGAGCAAGCCATGAGGGGAGGGAAGTGCCTGTTGAGCTTCGTCTTTGGAACGAAAAAAACCTCTCATGTGGAGTGGTGTTTGTAGATGTACACAGTAGGGTCCTGATAGCGTTTAGAGCCTCGGGGATGACACTTTCCCATTTTGAAATCAGCATTTTCCGGTTTGCCAATGCCAACTGAACTGTCTTTCATATTATTCCATTATATCTTTCACAGAGCCCGTTCCCTTGAGGGTTGTAAGGGGAGGTTCAGCTTACTGCCACTCTTCATTCATGTAAAAAATTCTTGAGGTCTTCCGACATAAAAGCAGATCTCCTGTCTGTATGAATGTATGCAGGCACTCCGAAAATTGCGAAAAGGGAGCAGAGGCCTTGAATAACTGTAGTGGCCGTTACATCAGGGCATGGAATGACAAAGGGGAACCTTGAGTACTCGTCAATTACAGTAAGCATGTATTTATTTGGAGTTTTAGAATGTAGTGGACCCTTGAAATCCAGATTAAGCCTTTCGAAAGGCTGTTTGGCCTTTACGAGTGTTGCTTGAGGGGGCTTATAGAATCTTGGCTTATTTTCTGCACATATTTGGCAAGAGTTGGTAACACTTTTAACATCTTCAACTGAATATGGTAAATTCCTGCTCCGGACTACATGTGTCATTCTTGTGACGCCTGGTGGCACAATTCTCGTGTATGCTCTGAAGATCAGATGAGCTTGTTGTTAGACTGCACACCCTTGAAAAGGCGTCAACTGCAGCATTCTCCTTTCCAGGACAATAGGAGACGTCAAATGAATAACAGGAGAGTTCCATCCACCATCTTGCAATTTTCTCATTTTTTATTTTACTTGAGGTTTTCGGGTTAAACATGAATGATACCGATTTTTGGTCAGTGATAAGGTGGAATTGTCTACCGATCAGATAATGCCTCCATTTTCGTAAAGCTTCAACTATGTCGTACGCTTCTTTTTCTATGGCAGAGAGTGTCCTAGAGAAAAAAGCTACAGACCAACCATGTTGTCTTAAGGAGGCAGCTATTGCTGAATCAGATGCATCGGTTTCAACTACTAGTGGAGCTGAAGGATTAATGGCAGCAATGGCAGAATTAGCAATATCCCTTTTTAAATTTTGAAATGCTCTAATGGCTGAATCAGATAATGCAAAAGTTCTTACTTGAGTAAGTAAATGTATTTTTTTCAGAAAAGGACTCAACCCATTGGGAATAATGGGCAAACATACCAAGGGCTCGTCGTAATGCAGCTATATTTCTAGGAATTGGTAACTCCATTAGGGGTTTAAGTCGCTCGGGGTCCGGTCTCATGGCACCATTCCTGACTATGTACCCTAGTAGCTTGATGCTTTTCAAATTATATGAACACTTTTCCTCATTAAGGGTCAGGTCATTTTTATTTACGGCGGCCATGAATCGTTTGAGGTTGTGGTTATGATCTTCCTCGTTATAACCGCAAATAGTGACATTGTCTATGTATGCCACAGTACCCTTCAATTTCTCATTAGAAATGATTTCATCTATTACCCTTTGAAAACTTGCAACCCCATTTGTAACCCCAAAAGGGATCCTATGGAATTGGTATAAACGCCCACAAGCTTCGAATGCCATATAAGGTTTTTCCTCTGGCTTGATGGGTATCTGATGGTAGGCACTCCTAAGGTCCAACGTACTGAAAATACGATACTTAGTGATATCAGAAACCATTTCATCAATAAGGGGCAGCGGATACACATCGAGCTGTGTATATCTGTTGATGGTTTGGGAATAATCAACAACCATCCTTTTTTTATGGTTTTCATTAGTCGTTATTAGGACCTGGGCTCTCCATGGCGATTTGCTGGGCTCTATAATATTTTCCTTAAGAAGTCTCTTCACTTCCATTGCAATAAATTCCTTGTCTTTGAGCGAATAGTGTCTGGATTTTACGGCTATAGGTTTACAGTCAGAGGTTAGATTTGAGAAGAGAGATGGATATTGGACTTTTGCAAGTTGCTAATCCACATATTTGCAGCTCTGGTTTGGTACCACCGAACGGAATTGTAAGGTGAGAATGTCGGTTAAGGAAATTGTGCCCTAGAACTACTTCACACCAGTAACTTGATTTTAGAATAGAAATTTTCTTTTAGCTCGAGGTTAACCGTGCAGAATCCGATTACACGACAGGATGAGGACAAAGTGGCCATCGATATTTGATTAGAACAGGGAAAAATTTTCCATTTGTTTGTTTCCACGATATGTGTATCGATAAAATTTTCAGAACTCCCCGTATCAATAAGAGCATGGAGATTTAGTCCGTTCACTCTGGCCGGCACAATTGTTTTAGAGAGGCATTTGGGAGAGGCAGTCGATACAGTAGATAGAGATAAGGTGGCGGCTAAACGGGTTTTCTGTAAAGGGGCCAACCGACAAACCTTTAAAAAATGTCCCTGCTTGCCACATCCATGACATCTACTGTTTCGAGCCGGGCAGGATGAACAAGTGTGTTTACGAAAGCCGCAGAAGTAGCACTTAATCTCAGCTGAAGCGATAGTAACGGGTTGTTCAATAGTATTTGAAGAATCCTTATCCTGGAGGTCACAATGTTGTGAATTTGAGCTGGGAATTTGTTGAGAATGAGAATGGGCAGGAATAGTGGCCCCTGAAAAATCAGGTTGCGAATAGAGATCTAATTGTTTCTGGGCCATGTCCAACGTAAGGGCTAGTTTGTAGGCAGTAGCCAGATCTAAGTCCTTGTTTTCAAGCATCTGTTGTTTGATTTGGTTAGACCGTACTCCACTGATGAATGCATCTCTTATTAAGATATCCCTAGCTTGGCTTGCTGTCAGGGCAGTAAAATCACAGTTGCGACTTAATATTTTCAGGTTTTGAAGATACAGCTCTAGACATTCTTCAGTCTCTTGACGCCGAGTAGCAAGTAAGTATCGTGCAAAAATGGAGTTTTTCTTCTTAATGAACATACCATCCAGAGTGCTTATAGCAGTATCGTAATTTTGACACTCAGTCAAACACTTATAAATGGGAGTAGAAACATGGTGTAATAAGAGGGTTAATTTCTGTGAGCCAGTCAATGCCGACGTAGAAGAAGACTGCAGCTCCGAAATAAATCCCTCGAACATAGCCCTCCAATGTTGCCATTTGTCACTAGAGTCAGGGTCTGACATATCGAGTTCCAGTCGGTCAGGCTTGAGGTATCATTCAATTATTTAAAGTTGAATAAATTGTAATGAATAATCAGAGGCGAATAAACTTTGGTAAGCTTTATTCAACTTTAATACAGCTATAAAAAAAGAATTACGCTAGTATATTTATAAGCTTATATGGAGTCGTCCATTACACCAAACAAGGGGGAGCAGGTTGTGGGAATTACTTACAACAATATGTAGCTAGATTTTTTTCAAACTGACTTGTGGATTACTATTGCCAACAAAACTCATTCATGTCCAGACAGAACTACTGATGAGAAAAAAAAACACACTTTTTGGGTGAATTAGATGCTTAGAAAGTCTCAACTCAAGAAACTGAAGTTAAAAGAAGACATAGCTCAAGATAAAGAAGTACAGTGAAGCATCCAACCCAATATTAAGGAAATAAAACAATAAGCCAGATAGTGAGTGAGTGAATGAATGAGATTGTACTAGTTAATCATTGCTAATCCAGTTCTATCACTAATCTGAATTGAAACATTTCAAATTTCTCGCATTATTATTGTACTGACCTGTTGCTTAGTTATTATAGAGATGTCTTTTCATTTTGCTCCAGCCAAGGTTTCCATAAAGGAAGTAATTTTGGACATGTAAAATTCAAGCAATATAATGTCAATGTCAATAAAAATGGTTTTAATTTTTATTTTGCTTTTTTCACATTGCTTAGAAGTTTAATATTAATCAAGCCAAGTTTAATGTGGGACTCAATATGTATAATATATATGTGTATATATTTCTAGAAATTGTCCATTTCTCTTAGCTCTTCCTCTGGAATCAGGGATTGATGTTGACCCTATTCCTTTAAGTGAAATAAGAGAGTTGTTGAAACTGAACATTGGATGTATTTTTCTATTGAATAGATATTTTGATTTTTTATCTTTTCACCCCAAGCAAGGCAAGAGTACCACTAGTGCACAGGGGGTTACAGAGAGTAAAAGTGAGAGAAAAGACTGGGTATAGTCAGGGGATTGAAGAAAGGATAAAAGATAAACAGGATTCAAGACAGATGATGGCAATTGATATTGACATCCATATAAGAAACCAATATTCACCAAACAATACCTGAACTTCATCTGTCACCTACAACATCAATTAAAAAACAATTATAAGTGATAACTCACAACTAACTCAAAAGTGGGCATTTGGCATTGTTAAAACATTTTCCAAATGATATATGCTTACATCTAATCTGAAAGTAAGCGCAGTCTGAGGATTTCAGAACGGGTTTAATTTTGTCCTAACCAAAGTATTTGTCAAGTTACGATAATTTGAAATTAATCAAATCTCGCAAATGTTTAATCATTTATTTTTAGATAATCATTTCTGAGTTGTTTCTTTTCCTGCCTCTTTCTTCAGAGACACCTCTCTCTCTCTCTCTCTCAAACAAACAAACAAACAAAAAACACAGATCAGAAGAGGACATGGCCAAGAATTGCATATATTCCATTTTATGCAGTTATACTAGAGAATACAAAAGTAAGACAATGTACCAACTAAAAGGCTGGAGGAACATGAGAAAGCCATAATTTGGGATTGGGAGACAATGAAATGAGGCATGACTGAACATATGCGGAAGGAAAATACCAAACCCTGTGTAATAAAGTCAGAATAATAAGGCAACTGAAAGAACATAGGATATGGAATATCCTATGTAGGTCTGAAGTAAATAATAATTTCTCATTTCAAAAATTGAAAAAAAATAGTATTTTTTTAATCTTAATTTTTAGTTGCCTTTTATTGCAACTACTCAGACAACTGTCAGTCTATGGTCATCACTAAACAACACAGATCAGAAAGAGTGTATGTTTTTCTTTCTGATATTGTCTGTTTATTGATAGCTGTAGAATGATGGTCATCTGAGTAGATTAAAAGAAAAGCAAAATTAAGATGAAAAATACTAATAAATTAATAATAATATTTAAAATTTCTATAATATTTTATGGGTTTGTTTCCCTCAGTAATAAGAGAGATTATGATAATCAATAGAACTGAAAAATTATTACCTTAAGAGCATTAGCCCGTTCTTGTGAGAGTCTCTCATTGTCCATTTGTGTGGTAGTTATCTTATGATTCAGGTTGGAGATTTTTTCAATGCAGTGGTCAAATATTTTCTGTATTGTTTTGTTGCTATCATCACTTTGACTGAGTTTTGTACTTCCCAAACGAAACTAAGAAAAATGAAACACATATTAAAATGAATTCAATATAAATCAGAATTTTAAATTAACAATTTCAGCAATTAATTTTTAAAGTTAAACAATAATCAATCAACTTTTAAATAATTATTGAAGAAAGGATCTTTTGTCTAGATTTAAAGATTTCTCATCAAATTTTAGGGAGAAAAAAGATTTTGATAAAGAAAAATATAAATTTTGAAAATCTTCAAGTAGACATGTCTGTAGGAAATCAACAAATGTTTTACAAACCAGAATTGTAGGTAAGTTTTGAATATTTCAATGTTTATAAATTTCAAGAAAAAAAATTAAACAATTTATATTATCCGTTAAAAGATATTATTTTGCATCAAAATAACACAAGGCCACAGCACGGTCAATGGTAACAAGTGTGAAATTCCCTGTTGTTACATACTCTCCAGGTTAGCAAATTTAACATCAGACTTCTGGTCTTTCCCAAAATTGAAAGATCAACAATCTTCATCCAAAATCAAAGTTGAAGTTACTGTACACAAATGAATCAAACAGAAACTTTCTTCATTTACAAAATGAAGAAGTGGATTGAACTTTTCATGGACAGCATAAATGATGACTATGTTGAAAATTAAACTTGTAATTTTGTAGAGAAATACATTTACTTCATTTTGATACCAGTTATATTATTTTATCTAGTCTAAAATTTGTTTTATAAGATTTGGAGACATTCATTAGTTATCAAGGAAAATTGAAAAATCTTGTCTTGATTCTCCAATCTTCTCAAAATAGTTGGGTGACTACTTTTTGACTGATCAAAATATCACAGGTGGATTCCTCATTTATTAACTATAGTTGCTTTTAGTTAAAATGTTTACTCATTTGGATCTTTCTGAATTTAACATTGCATATGTTTGCACCTATATACAAATACACAAACAAACTATATATATATATATATATATATATATATTGTTTGTGTTTAAGCAGAAAAACTATTTAAAAATATTCTGTTAAATAATATTTCATGCATAAAATTGCTGCTATATGGCAGAGATAAAAGTAAAGCTTTGGCATATAGAGAAGAAAGGAAAAGACCAATAAGTGTCTTATTATCTTACCTTGACATCATCACTGACAATGTGTTTTTTCCAATGGAACTGAACATATTCTTGTGAGGAATGATCAATTTGATACTGAAAGCTAATATTTGGTCCAGACTTTCCTGTAAGGGCTTGAACAGTCATTTCCACATAATCCTTGTAATCTATGCTGCTCAATGAACACATATCATGAATATCATTACCTGAAACTGAGCAATTAATAGTATTTTAACAATGAAAGCATTAGAAAATATAAGACAAAGGTAGAAATAATCATTTTGCAAAGTATAGAATAAAATCCCAATGACTCATCCTGTTTGCATATGAGTCTCTAAAATATAGCATCCCACTTTTGCAATCTGTATCTATTAAACATGACATTTGCCACTTTAATAAGACTGTGAGAAAAAGCATGAACTTTTTAATCTATACCTATACAAACACAAACATATGCTGATGAACCCAAACATTATAACTAGTGATATGTGGCAAGAATTACAACTACAGTCTCATAACAATTGCACACATCAAGGCCAGAAGTAAGCAACCCTTGAATATTTCATTTTGATATGTTGAATGCCATAATTATGAGCAAGAAAAAAAGATTTTTTAAAGTTCTTTTCATAGCTGGGTGACTGCTTTTTGACTGATCAAAATATCACAAGTGAATTCCTCATTTAAGATAATCACTACAGTTGTTTTTAGTTAAAATTTTTACTCATTTAGTTCTTTCTGAATTTAACATTGAATAGGTTTGCACTTCATTTACTTATCTATTTACATATAGATATAAATATACAAATAATATTGAATCTACCTACCATTTATGCTTACAAGTCAACTTATTCAGCATAAAAACTTATTCTGTTAAATAATATGTCACACATAAAATTGCTGTTATATGGCAGAGATGAACAAAAAAAAAGCTTTGGTACAGAGAGAGGAAAGAAAGTGATACTACCTTGAGGCCTAGTATTATATGTACCTAGATGGGCGACTGGGAATACCAGGTTCTGTAAGCTTATATGTGCAGGTGATGTAATAGATAATGGCTTGGAATTGTTAATCAGAGAACCAAGTTCTAAATCCTGTTGGGTTCATCACATTCACTTATATGCAAATACTCTTGGGAAAGTATGAAACCACCTCTTCTACCCCAGCTATGAGTTAATTAGTAAGTCTTGTGTCATTAAAGCATTATTATCTCAAAAATAAATTTCTTACAATCTAAAAATACATTTTGGATTTAAATAACTTGCAAAGCCATAGAAAACAAATCAATTAGCAATACAATATGGAATCTACTAATCATGCTCTACCTGAAGACTATAAAATGCACAACCCAAGTATACAAAAGACAAAACTTATGAACAAGGAAGCAAGAATAGACAGAGAAGGCTTGAATAAATCCATACATCTTGTTTAAAGCATTCAGACAAAAACTCTTAAATACTTACTGTCACCTTCCCATGAGTCATTTCCATCACAAAGAATTAAATGAAAACCATCCTCTCCATTATCTTTCACTGTAGTAAATAAGTAATAATTTTTCAGCAAATCCTGTATTTTGCAGAAGACTATATTCTCCATGACTAAAAATAAAGAATTTTATTATACAGTATTAATTTTAATGTTATACTGAACAAATACATTACATTATCAATGATTAAATAGATTTTAGCAATAAAAAATTGATTTCATTTAACAGACATTAAAATATTCTATGAATTTGAGATTATAATTTCAAGAAAAATAAAATAAACTAATATAAAACAGGATTCTTTATTGCTAGTATTTCTGTTACTTTTTTTGCCCTTTAATTTTATTCCATGCTGCATTGTTGATGAGTAAGAAGACCAATTACCAGAGAAATAGTATTTGCTAGTGGAAACTGTGATAGGATCACTCACCTCCTAGAGTATAAGATTTTACAAGAAACATCTTCCATATATGGCATGGAGATTAATGTAAAAAAAAAAACAAACTCGTGATGAACAACGAGAAAGGGTTTTCAACCAATATAAAATTTGATGATGATCTTTGCAGCAAAAGAAAAAAAGTTTATCCGAACAGATATTACATGTCGGAGTTTTTGTAAAACTTCAAAAATCAAATTGACATAGAAAAGAAGTGGGGTGACAACTTTATCTTTTTAGATTTTTAGACTTTTAAATTATGAATGTTATAGAGCACAAATTTTGATTATTTGCTAAATGTCAACTTCAAAAGTTTTAAAAGGCGGAAGGAAGTTTGTGAAATCTATTTTTAGAACTATAGATGGCATGTAAATAAAAATAAGAAACTGAAAATTAAAATACTTTCACATTCATTTTCTCTGAAAAAAAATAATGAAACAAAACAAATTATTTCAGTTTCTGCCACTATTCGGAACAAGAGAAAAATACTGACAAGAAGCAGTTTACAAAAATATTTACGATTAAATACTCGGAAAAAAAAAAGATTATAAAAAAAAAATCAATGCATTTTTCCTTTTCTAAAATTGTAAAATCTTTGAAGAGCATCTTTTAAAAGAAACAACAGGCATTTTTCGTTTGGAAATGTTTTTGTTTTTTCACCGAACACTAGCTGATCTAAAAAACATGACTCAGACTGCGATTAATTTCATTTTCATTTTAGTCAAACAAAAAAATACATCTCATTCTCATGGCATTCCAATTATCAATAATTCCAAATAAAGTTATGTTTGTTAAAACTTTTTTAACAAACATAATAATAAATTTTTTTTTCACTTTTGTATTTAGTTTTTACGGTATGCAAAAAAGTTACTTTACTTTTTTAGTTTGCCTTCATTTTTTTTTTCACTAACGAGAAATTAAAAATATTCCAGATATGCCCATATTGTTCATTTCATACGATATGATTATTTCCTTTATGTCATTGAAAATATTGACGAAGCCTAAAAATGTTAAAAAAAACAAGATTGTTCCATGACAAGCAATTTTCTTTGACTTTGAAAACTTAACTCAAATGTCTGAGAATTAAATATCTTTTAAATTAAATTTCTTATGATTTCGATCTAGTTTCGAGTCAGAGAAATCGGAACTGAGAAACAAACTTTCATTATTTTTCTGCTTGAACTTTGAATCCTTTTGTGTTGTTTGGCAGTTTTGTTTTCCTTTTTTTTATCGTGTTATGATGACATTTTTAAAAATCAATTCGATGAAATGGTAAAAAGAATATTTGTAATGAATAAATGATGTTACCTACCAAAAAGATTTGTATCGTTTATTTATTTCATCGGTTAAAGAAAATACTGATAGACCATATGCACCGGTGATTTTACAAAACAAGAATGTACTCAACTACTGAAGAATTTAAAAATGCCGCCCGCCAAATTCGAATTTGGAAATGATTGCCTTCAAATCAAAGCCATCATTCGAAATAAGCAAAAAATAACAAGTAATCGTAAATTTAAAATAATAATGATTATTATTTAATAATAAAAATATACAAAATAATTTTATCGACCAATAAAAATAGATATGTATTAAAAATAAGTAATAACTACAGTATGAAATTAATACCTGAATAATAAATATCAAATAATTAAATAACATAAAAAAAAATCCTTTTAAATTAGCGCAAGCGAAATCTCTTTTGTTCGTAAATTGAGAGTTATCTCTCTTGTACTGTCGATTTATGAAAACATCATAAATAAAAGTAAGGAATTTAAGAAAACATGCAATTATTTTTCATGGGATTGGTAAACTAGTGACGTAGTTACAACATTGCATGTGAAATTAATATAATTATTAAAGAAGTAATAATTATTCTAAAAAGTAGCAGTAATTAACAATATCATCACCTTTACCATCATAAAAGGTCAATGACAAGGCCTTGGTCCAGATGACTCTCAATGAGACTGGAAATATGAAAAGTTGGGTTCAAAATTTTCATAAAAGATTTTGCATTAACATCAATTACTGTATCCAGATTTTAAATTTGGTTTCCAGATTTTTTTTTTTTTTTTTTTACCAAAATGCTAAATTGACAATTTAAAATCTATATATGCATATATGGAGCTGTCACATATAAGATTTTTTCTGTCAAAAACACTAATTACTATTGTGTACTACTTTACTAACTCATACTGCCAAAAATGAAAATATATTTTATTTGTTTAGTACTTTGTTTGTAGACTTTTCTAGATTTCACAGAGCTATTATTTAAATTTTACACACATATACATATGTTAGATCTACTTGCATTTCAAATAGGCAAGATGATTGGGATGCAAGGGATGACTGGAAGTTTTTATAATTTATTTATAATTTTCAATAATGAAACGTTTCATTCTAGAATGCTTTGAGCCTAAATTAAGAGGAAATTTCCTGAATGTTTAATAAAAGGGATGTGATTGGAACAAGGATATCTCAGGTGAATAATCATCCCAGATGGTTTATTTAAAATTCAAGGATATATATTGTGTTAATTGCATGGTTTGGGAAAATGGTCAAGTTGGTATATGAACGTAAACTAAAAATATATGAAGATCTGTGAAGGCAAAAAATCTAGTAGGAAAATTGTAGCAGAAAACCATTTCTTCTGTAGCACAGACACTGGAACAATACTGACAAAGGACTCTGGTTTAGCACAGACCACAACGCACTGACCTGACCTGACCTGACCTGCGCTGAGTGAAAACGCTTCCTCACGTCCAACTCCATATCTCTGCTGTCATGTAACAGGATCTCTGAAGACGTTGTGGTACTGTTGGAGTCTTCCTCCAATGTAGTGACACTGCAGTGTGAGCACAGATCCTTCACATGGTGGAGTATTCCGTCCACTAGACAGGACTGTGGACTGACCATTTTAGTCACCTGACCCCTGCCAAACTTTGTGGTACACTGACTCTGTGGTACCTTGATACACACGCAATCTCCGATCTAGTGCCCAGGACATGAGGATTTTGTCACGGCATCAATCCCTTTCATCCAAACTTCATATTGGTAGATCACATTGGCCGGTGCAGTCAGATCCGATTTGTCATCCTTCAGGAACACATTGTGCCACTAGTCTGCTTCCTGGACAGAACATCACATCCTGGCCACAATTCGATTTACTCTATGGTAACATCACTCTGCTATGCTATTTTCGGCTGGGGCATATGCGCAACGGAATCGCAGATTTATTTCCCCCAATCATGCGCAAAAGCTCTAAGCTCTCTTTTGCAGAAGGCTGTGTCATTGTCTAACATAATGAACCCTGGCTATTGCAGCTCTGTCCTGTCTCTCCGGTGGTTCTGGCCGAAAGGTAAACCACCCGGTCCTCCCCCGGTGAACTGAAGGAACCACCACTATCCGCCACGTTGTGAATTTTTGATCCGAGCAGCGGTATTTCGATCCCTCAGAACGATCCGGAGGTAGGATGGATTAGATGGCTGGGTATTACGCTGAAAGTAATTCACTATTCATGCAAAAAAAGTTTCTTTTCATAGCCGCAAAGACATGAAAAAGAAAAAATAAGCAAATCTTTCGGTTCCTGTACAAAGAGCTCTTTTTAGGCCACTGTTTTTATGTCACTACCGAAGAATTTACACGAGTACAAAATGTCGTAACGAATGACCACAGCGTCTCGGGGACATGTACTTGGAGGTATGCCCTCCTGTGTTCCAATAGAAATACGTTTTAAACTTTCTGTCGCCATTCATGTAGCTTAGCTGCACAGATGATGGCTGAGCTCTCAGTAGTCCATCACTGGACACACCTTTGCTTTATTCTGTTGCAGTACGGCTATCAGAGGAATTAATGCTTTAGAAGACCCCAGCCTTTTTTCTGGGTATGGCACAAGCCAACCATTATCTATCCACGTTTGGAGCTCCCATTCATGGTCTTTTTGTATCTCTGCAGCTACCAGATATTCTGACACCCCATTTTGTAATCCTTCTGGTGTGCAGTCCTCTGACCATTTTCATGCTGCGGTCCATGCCCGGCTATGATGGTCGAAGGTTGTGGTGAAGTTAGGTTCATTGATGGAGATGGCTCCATACATAATGACTTTTCTGTTGTCGATCTGCACTGATCACGTTAGCCTAACAACGATACCTACTAATGCTGCTATCGTATATAGAATGCATTCCCCTCCAGATAGAATGACAGCAGGCTTGCCACATCATCCACCAGCTGGCTGAAGTCTCGCTAACAGATTTTTCAGCCATGCTACCATGTCTTCCTCACCAGTAAATGGTTTTATCATGTCAATGCTTATGCATACCTTCACTATAGTAATGGTGCCAAAATAACTAGTAGCATGAAACCATTTCTTCTGTAGCACAGACACTGGAACAACATTCACAAGGGAATCTGGTTTAGCACAGACCACAATGCACCAACCTGGTCTGGGCTGAGAACAAGCACTTCCTCTGTCCCAACAAACACTCGCCTCTTTTATTCGTTTTTGCTAAGCCAGAAAATTAGCATCTAACCTCCAGAAGAGTGACTCATTGCACCTTATCAGTTTTTGTTGACTATCTTGGAAACATTTGAATGATTTGTACACTCATGTCCAGCTCATATACTCCTCTCCATACACTTTCTGCAACTTTTGGTAGGTCTCTGCACGGGTATCACCAAGTTTTTGGTAAAATCTGATGCAGATTCTCTGCTCAATTGTTTCTGCCATGGTGCCTGATGGAACCTCTGTGGTGTGATTAGATGAACATACCCGATACACTTTTCTTCCAATCACTGATATAAACACCGGAAGTAAGCAAGAACATTATAGCCTTCTAGGGCTAATATTCTCAGCTGACATGAAGTGGAAGGACTCTATTGAATCCATTGCTAGGTCAGCTGTTAAGAAAGTTGGTTCACTGTGTTGTGCGAGGCAATTTTTCTCTCCAGAATCTATCTTACATATATATAAGTCTACCATTCATCCATACTTAGAATATTGCTTCCACATATGGCCCAGTGCCCCAGCTATTTACCTTAAGCTCCTTGATAAAATCCAAAGAAAAATCAGCAATATTATTGGTCCTGATTTGGCTTCAGTCACTTTCCTACTGCCATAAGGATGCCTCTCTGTGTCATTTCTATAAATCATTTCATGGTAATTGTTCGGATAAGCTCTCTGCTATGGTACCTTGATGTTTTTTAATTAAAACACAGTACTAGACTGGCATCAAGATCTCATCAATTTACATTTGAACTGGCTAGATGTAACTGTAAATTCTATGCTAAAAGTTTCTTTTCGCACAGATCTTACTTGTGGAACTCACTTCTGACTCCATGCTTTACAGCCAACATTAATTTTGAAAAATGTAAATGCAATGTCAATCACTATCTACTGTCCTGGTTATTCTTTCCTCTTCCCACTCATTATTAATATTTCTGTTCCTAATTCTTCCATATCCTGTAACCCTTTGTGCCTTAGTAGCTTTACTGCCTTGCATGGGGTGATACTGATTTAAAAATATAAAAACTTTAATGTGCATGCAAAACAAATTTCAAGGTCCATCTGTGCCAAACAGCTTCACTCTGTACACTTTAGCTTCATTACCATAGCAACATTCCCAATACTTTTTCATCAGACCTCATATACTGCTTTTGACAGAACAATCAAGCACAAGTTCTTTAGCAAACAAACGGGATAATCCCACCTCATATTTTACTAAGCATCCTATTCACAAAGTTGAGGAACCAAGAGGAAATCTTCTTAGAATAAACATCAATATCTATAGAAAAAAACATAGGGATTCTATATTATAACAGTGATTGAAACTGAGATGCCAGGTCATTGCAGATTTTTTTTTGGATTTTGTCAAGAATCTCAAAGTACATAGAAGAAGCATCAGAACAAATATGGCAGCAATATTCAAGGCACAGACAAATTGTAGATTTATAAAGGTGCAAGATAGATTCTGATTAGAAAATTTTTCTAGCACAATGCAGTGAACCAAATTTCTAAGTAAGCAGACTTTACATTGATTTGATATAATCATTCTAATTCATACCAGTGGTAGACCAAGAAGACACAATAATGGAAGATAAAAAAAAAGGTATAAAAAGACAATTAAAAAGAACAGTTTAGTTTTAATATATGTGGAAATATAACCATTCATTTGAATTCTGAATTACAAAACGAATGCTGAATCAATTTGAATTTGTCTGCATGACAGTGTTGAAAAAATTAAATGAATTTAATCTTTCTTGCCATTATAAAAATTTTAAACTACATGATTTCCTATGCTAAAAGGAAAATCTTCAACAGGAAGTCCACAATGACATCATAGTCCTCTTGAGACCACCATTTTTAAGGTGATAATAATTATATTGAAAAAGTAGTTGGGCTGCTCCACATGGTGTAATACTCAAAAATCAGTTATTGCTCAATAGTGAGTTCATTCTTTGTTGTGTATTCCATACTTGCAGCTTTGTGCTAAGGTTGTGGCAATATGTTCCACTTTCCTCACTGCCACGCCCTTGACCCTCGCAGCTGGCCTTTTATGTGTACCCCAGTCAGTTATGCAGATTTCTTTTTCATGCCCACCTACATTTAATTAGTCCTAAGCACTAGGTAATTTATGACTGTGTATGGCACAGGCGGTGAGATAGACCAATGTCCGTTACAGTTTAAATACACCTAGTGATTAATTAACCGGTAATGAGTTCAATTTTTCAGTGAAGTCAGTTCTCTGGTAAATGAGGGTGCCTTTCATTTCGCTCGTGTGTTTTCGTATTTGTTGTTGTGTTTGAATGCATGCGTGTCTGTGTGAGTGCTTGGGATGAAAGAATATTTTATACTATTATAATCCCGCATCGATTTCATCCAGTTAACTGATGTTTCTGCCACATTTTATGATTGTGGGGGGGTTTATTACTAACATTATTTTGTTTTTAGCTTCTTGTAAATAATTTTGTTGCATATTTGTACATACTCACTGGGTATTTTTTAAATTGTTGTTTTATCCCCCACCCCCAGACAATGAATTGTACATATGGGGACTATTTAGGATTTTCATAGAGACAATGAGGTATTATGGCAGGTGTAGTAAGAAAGGTAGGTAAGAATGCGTTGTTTTGGTGTTAGGACTATTGTTTGTATGTTTGGGTCAGTGTTTGTGGCTAGCTAAGTTTAAAGTTAAGAAGACAGATGAAGACCGTCCTTTTCCCAAATCCCCATTTTGGCTTTGTGCCACATTTTGTACCATGGTACAAATAAATATCGTGAGTTCAATTTTCACTGGGTGCTCCATACTTTTTGCTTCCTTATGTTCAAAAAGTAAGGTATAGAACTAAAAAAAAATAAAACAAATTATTTTATTTTTTTTTTTTTTTTTGATACAGTGATGCAGACAAATTCAAATTGATTTTACATTGTTTTTACAATTCAGAATTAAAATCAATAGTTATATTTCCATATCAGTAGATATTATTTTTTTAATTTTATGAAAGTAATCTACTCAGAAATATTGCGTAGGGACAAATTTCATTCATCACCGCTTATTTCCTTGGGCCATTTTCCTATAGACACAGCGTTTTTGTTTTTTTTTCTATCTGAAGGCTTTCGTTGATATTTTATTTATTTCTCGTTTTCTTTTGGTTTTGTTAATATCAAAGAAAGAACTCTTCTCTATGATTATATTAGTTTTGTCAATACTTTTACTAGAGTGATATATTTGTGGAAACAATCTTTTACCAATCTCGATTTCTTTATAATCAAGAAATCTCTTAGTCTTAAATGTTGTAAACTAACCACATGTCGGCGTGTTGTGAGGGGAAAAAGGGAAAGAAAACATTGAAACCAAAGGTAAGTTAAGCTGTTTTAAGCTGTTTAATTTTTCATTTGTAATTGTTAATACAGTTTTATC